AGACAAATAAGTATTGCGAAAACAGATGACTCAAATGCGGGTGATGAACCGTAGAATCTTGTGATAGCCATCCTTTCGAGTTAACTTTTTTCGCAGCACTCATTTGTCTGACGAAGAGCTGGGGAACCAGATCGGCACAATAAACCTCATTCTTTCCCAAAGGACTTCGTCGTTAACAATATATACACCGCTTGGGATACCAATACATACATATCGAAAAACTTAGTCGGAGAGCACGCTAACGTGCTCGCATAAAACTGATCTGCTTGGGGTAGACAAGCGTCTATGTTGGGTGTTAATATAAACCGTAATTGATAAACTTACGCAGACATGGTGACTCAAAGAGTCATTTAATGGTAGCAAATATTCATGATAGTCAGATTTTAAACTGTTCGATAGATACATGACGTTTGCTGAGTCATGCATTCTGTCCCGGAACTAACAGGAGGCAGTCCTAACTACCGGAAATTTAAAGTTGGACAACTGCATTTTAAAATGAGTTCACATTTATTTAAACCATGCCATGCCTAGCTGCTAAACTTCGTCGAAAAGAAGTTCTTCCTTGGCAGTATCAGCAATTGCCGAGACACATGAATTTCAGTCCACTTGATTTCTGTCAGGTGTACCGATGTACAAAATGCAATTATTTACTTTATCACGCCAGCTAACCCAAACAAGCACTTCCAAGCAGAATTAAAATCGAAAACATAGTTGGAATGTTCAGACGCAAGCATTCCTGGCAAGACGCGCAGCGCGTCCCTAGTTCAAACAAACACAAAGCGTGTGCCGAAGATAACTTCGACTCAGAAGGAACCTATTTAAATTTACTTGAAATGAGGTGCCCTATGAAAACTATTGGTATATTGTGGGCTCCCATCGATGATAGATATGGCCTAGTCCGATCCCGAACGCGGACACCCTGACGAGCTCTGTCATGACAAAATATGCTAGATGGCCTCCTAAGACCAAGTGCTGTTTGCGTGTGTTCGACATGTGCTCACAAATGTGAGGTGAGAGCCACGGTGTCAACCACTGTACCCATTCTCCGAACCTAACAACTGACCGCTCAGTCAGTGGTTGGGGCCTCGAAATGAGAACGAGGTCGTCACTTCAGCGCACTTTCCTCACTAGGAATAAGCTGGTTATCACGGTGGGCTAAAAGTCGTGGCTTGGAAGGGTGCCGTCAACTGACAGAATAGCTCGGATCCCGCAGTCAGCCCACTGTGTGATTTTGTGTGGAGTGGCTGGCTGACTGACTGATGAAATGGGAGTCAGACTACAATGGCTCCTTCTTAACACGAGCTCTGGCGCTCTCGGACATGTGATATCCAAACTGCCAACACAAGCGAACATGCGAGTCCCAGGAAGTAATTAAGAAGAAGACGACTCGATC